GTTTCGTATTGAGTTGAGAAGAGACGCAGTTTAGCTAGTATGAAAAAGACACAAAGCTGGAGTTATTCTGTGTTTACGCTGCACAGCTGCCTCTTCTTCTCTCATTCTCCCCCCTCCCTCTCCTGTTTCTACTTCAATCATGAAACTGATCAATGATCAGCTGATCGGCTCTCTTGTTTGTTTATCGCCCACTTTGTGCCAGAAAGAGGAAACCAGCGGATAAACAACAGCAGCACGTTTAAGCTTGATCAGCTGTTGTTAGAATGTATTTAATATTAATTTCTAGTAGGTTTTATTCAAATGTTAGTCTTTTCAGTTGTTTCCCCACTTTTTCCTGTTTCAAAATCAAAATCAAACACCAGTTTGTAAGAAGATTATCTTCTGTTTTTAATAAGCAGATGAAGTTTTGCATTGGCTAATTTGACAATTGTATGTTAAAAATGTTCATATTTTAATATTCAAAACTGTTTTTGCCTAAAACATATGTGCACTATATATCAGTAAAAATACTATGCAAATACTGCTGTCCTTGAATGCTGAATAAACACTGACTGATTGTATCTCTTGTACTTTATCAACGCAGTATCTAAAAACTTTGCACCGTAGTGGTTAAAATCTCATTCTAATAAGAGTTAAAAGCACATTTGGTTATTAGGTTTGCAGGGTTATTGAATTATGGTGAACGGTTGGTAGAATTGTTTTTAACATTATCTGCCAATTACATCTGCCACCCTTCTCCAAATCTGTGCCCCTACCTGGCCCCCCCAACAAACATTTTCTAGACACGCCACTGCTCCAAAGCCTCTCTGAACCTCCCAGATGAGGAGCATGCGTCATCTGTTTAAGACTTCAGAGAATTCATTAAAAGGATGCCAGAACATCTCACTATACGTGCAGAACCAGATACTCCAGATGTTTGTCACAGGTGTGTTTGGCAGCACATGTGAAGAGTCGTTCATTTGCACATTAGCTTGGTAACAAACTAAATACCAAAGCAACACGGTCATCTGTAAGCTTTTTAAGGCTCAAAATGTGGTGTTAGTGTCAGGGTTACAGTTAGGTTATTGTTAGGTATAAAAGAAAGTTTCATTTAATTGACTTTATAAAAGTTTTTATTGCACGGTCCTCGGGGCCGCTGGACCGTCCAGATTTCTCCTTTGAACTTCCTGTTGAACTTATCTGCTCCTCTTCTCCTCTTCCTCCATGGTCCTCTCCTCATGTACTGTATCCGATCCCTGTGACTGACGAGTTCTTGTATTAAATGAATGTGAAATATTCAGCTTCTGAGCTTTGCGGGAAGAGTGGGAGATATAAATTAATCTGAAAAACAATATATAATAAAAATGCCAATAAATTAACTAAAAACTTAACTAAGCACATTATATTAAAACCAGAGTGGCAGACAGATTCCTCATTAACATCTGGAGGGGATTTGGCCTCCACGAGACACTGAGTGCTTTTTGTGCTCCTAAGATAAACTGTGAGGTCATTCATTGTTAGCAATCAAATAGCCACACAAATCTTTGTTAGTTTTAAAAGTGACACACATATTTACAGTCTCTGAAGTGTACATGCAGTCAGTGTCAGAGGAAGCTGTGTGGTCCATCCGATGTTAATATAATATTTATTTTTTATTTTTGATCAAATGTTAAAACTATAAAATAAATTAAAACCTTTATTTCCACCACTGAAAATACCTGATTGTTTTTCTGGTGACAAATGATTACAGTTTGTTTGAATGAGAAGGACAAACACTGCTCCTTCTCAATACCTAATGCCACCTGTTGTTTAGGCACCACTGAACCACCACAGGTTTACATGTGGTGTTAAAATCTCCCAAGCTCTATACTATCTTCCCTCCTTCGTACACCTGTATGTAAAAAATAAAATAGCCCTGTGTTTCTCTGTGTCAGTGTTGGGACGCCCCTCATGCTGTGTGTCTGGTCCTGTGTGTTTGTGTTAGATGTTGCCCAGTTTAGGTTTTGTGAGGTTTTTCTGTCCAGCAATAAAGCTGCTTTTTTGCTCCCAGTTGAGTCTGCATTTGGGTCCTTTTCCTGCCTGCACACAGCCGTCACATGACACAATCTGTTCTGTGTGAACATCGTCAACAACGAGTGATGCTGTTAGACCTGTTTTATTGGCCTGACGGTGGGATGTCTGTGTGTTTCTGAGAAGCTGAACACAAGATTTTTGTTTTACTTTTTGCAGAATAAGTGTTTTAAAACACAAAGTCCAGAGTTCACCCAAAGAACACTGCTCACTGACAGTACGTGTCATTGTTGTCAGAGTGTTGGAGGAGAAACCGACTAACTCTGCAGAAACATGGTGGACACAGGTGATAATGACACATTAAAGAAGAGAACTGACTAACACAATATGGCTGTGATGAGCATCAGGTGAGGTCGACTGCAGAAAAATGTGCATTTGTTGTACTTTGAGACGGGATTTTAATGAAAACCACTGGTGTGCCCTAACATAACCCGCAGTAACACTGATAAAACCGACTTTGTGTTGAAGCACACAGCCGGCTGTATTTCAGACAAAGTTCCCAGAATTCATGCTTTAAAATACAAATTTCTGTGGATGAATTTGAAGTGATTACAACATAATGCTGTGCAGATGTGACCCAGCACCTGCTTTTCCCTGTGTGGATGTCTGTGTGGCACTGAATTTAAATCAGTCACACAGTCAGCCAAAAGCTGAAGCTCTGTTAGCACCTCGTGCTGTGAACAAGCATAAGAACGACATTCTGAACAGCAGATCTAGAGTTTTATGGTGTGACGAACGCCTCTCTCTAACATTTCTCATTTATAGCAGCTGTTCATCATCTGCCTCCCTCCTGCTTCTGTGTGTGTGTGTGTGTGTGTGTGCACATGTTTACATGTCTCTGTGGGGACCAACAGCCCTTATGGGGACATTTTTGAGACTCAAATTCTGTTTTAGGGTCAGAGTTACAGTTGGGCTATGGTTAGGAATTTAAAACAGCATGACTCAGTTTACCTGGTTTCTCATTGAATTTGTTCTGACTCTAAGTCGGCTGTGCTGTAAACTTTAGGAATGAATCTAAAAAGGAGAAACAACCAATTTCAAACACGTCTCTCTGTCTGTCTCAGCAGAAGAGTAATTTATCATTTTTGTTTTTATCCTTTTCCAAAGGGAGACTATATTCTCAGACCATGAAATTGTTAGAATATCACCTCCAATGAAACAATTCCACCTCTCAATCAGAGTTTCTCACTTATCTACAGTCACACATAACATGTGAGGGGAGCTTGTATTGCCTGGATTTATTATCCTTCAAACTTGTCTCTGTATATAGTAATTATATTTGATGCCATGTGTTATAAGTTTGTATTAAAATACAACTTTATGGAAGATTTATTAGAGGCCTGTTTTTTGGGGGTGGGGCTTTATTGTCCAGTTGTTAACAAAGGAGCATTGACACATTGTTCCTCCTAACTCCTTGTCGTCACTCGTGTAGAACCCCACCGATGGGCCGGAACAGGCCTTCAATCGGTGACAAAAATAATCCAAGGTCTCTATTTGCTGAAATACAGTCATAACAAAGAAAGTCCCTACAAAAACCCCAGAAAATTTGCAGTGTGTCTGTGGCGAGGCGTGGTCGACGGTGTGGCTGCAGGGTAGGCAAACGCACCTGCAGGTCAAAAAGACTGAACTGGGTCCTGTCATGTTGTTGTTGCTATGTGGAGCTGGTAGCTGGAGAGCTGCAGCTGTGTGTTAGAACAACAACTGTGCGTGTAAATAAAGTTAATGCTGAACAGCATGAGCCTGTGGTTGGAGATTTTCCCGAGATGATGTGTCCTCCCCACTGTCCTCCCCCCACCACCCTCTCCTCAAAACCTGAACAAAACTCAGGGCTCCAAAGCCTCTCTGAACCTCCCAGATGAGGAGCATGCGTCATCTGTTTAAGACTTCAGAGAATTCCTTAAAGGATGCCAGAACATCTCACTATACGTGCAGAACCAGATACTCCAGATGTTTGTCACAGGTGTGTTTGGCAGCACATGTGAAGAGTCGTTCATTTGCACATTAGCTTGGTAACAAACTAAATACCAAAGCAACACGGTCATCTGTAAGCTCATCCATCTGTTATGTTACCCAGTCAGTCCACTTTGAAGAATATTATTAATCTCTAGCTTAATCGTGGCTGTTTTCCTTTACAAAGACCTGTGTGTCCACAAACTCTGCCTACCTCCCTCTAGAAGTGGCTGTTGTTGAGTAACCTGGACGTCTCCTCGTCACACTTTGTGTTTTGCTTCAAAACCAGCACAAAACCCATGAGAGCAAAGCTGTGGGAGCTCTGGTGGACCTGCTCAGTGTGTCCTTTGGTGTGTGATGCTGGGTGCCGGCAGTGGGTCTGGGTCAGTGTTGAACTTCCATGAACGAGTGCCGTGGTCAGTGCTTTCTACTCTGTCTTGGTACAAAACTGACATTTGATGACATTACAGCAAACTAAATATGGCTTTTTGAGCACCTTCCTGCTTTGAGTAGCACTTTCTAGAGCAGAGGTCTCAAACTCGCAGCCCCGTCACTCCTACTGGTGGCTTGTATATTGGCGTGAAGAAATATAAAGCAGTTTTGTTTGTTGTTGAGTGCGACGTTAAAATATGTTCTTTAAATGATTTAGTATGAACAGAGAGTGCAGACATTGCAGAGCAAAAACAAAAAGGAAACCTGTCTGAGGGCTTCCTGATAGAAACAAATAAAATGTGTCGCCAGCTGCTGCACCCGTAACAGACCAAAACAAAGATACGACACCTGGGACGGACACCCAGCAGGAGATGGAGGGAGACCCTGGGGACAATCCAGCCCCCACATCCCAGGGAGGGGCTGAAGTGTCCAGAGGGGAGAGGTGACCATGTCCCACTGGGGCCAAGGGCCAGCCAGCCCCTGATCCACCCACCCACTAGTGACCCACACAAAGACATAAAGACCCATGTACACACACTGCTCTCCTGTGGTGTTAATTTAACAGGATTATTTGTGACCTACAAAGTGTCATGTTTGCCCCAAAGTGTGCGTAACAAATCCCAAAAACATGACGGCAGTAACAAACTGATCAGGGCTGATTGCAGCCTGCTGTGTGGGGACTTTACCTGCTACTGCAGGGTCTACCTTACAGCATAAAGCAGCACCAGCTGACTGTTGCTGTGATTGAAAAACCTGCTCCAACTTTCAGTGCCTCGAGCTGCAGTCCAAACAGCACAAAGACCAACGAGTCTGACCGGATTCTTTGGTGGGGCCCTGATGACTTCTAGAAACAGGTGGAGCTGAACATACATCTGACTTATTTAAAGTCTACGGTGAGCTGAAACAGCTGCAGTTAACCATGGCTCTGCAGCAGTTTGTGTGCTGCGTCACTGTGCTGATCATTTTCTTCTGCAAAGGTGAGAAACTGTTTGAATTTCCTTCCTCTCATTGCTGAGGTTTGATCAGGGCTGGAAGAAGAACGAGATTAATTACAGGTACGAATGTTTCTAAACGAAATGTTGCTGCTGGATACAAGGAAGGAGTCCATTTAGCATTAATGTCATTCAGCATCGTATTTAATATGATGATGTCATGAAGTCAGTGGACGTCTTCACTCTTTATTTGATATCAACAGCTTCTTTTACAGACGTGTTGTCGCGTTCGTTAGTTTACTTTGTTGTGTTGGATTTCTAACAGTTGATGATATTCAGCAGAGAGTAACTTTATATTACAGTTACTGATGTTTGAGTAAACTGAGAACATGTATTTGATGAGGAACACTGAGGCAAAGCTTTGATGCCAGAGTAACGACACAGGCGACTCTGACCTTCATCAAGGTTGTACCTGCAGCCAGCTTTAAAGTGTTGTGTTTAGTGTGATCGGTTCTTCGAGTTGAAGAAAACCATCACTGCTCACTTTCACAGGTTTGTCTGTGTTTCTCATTTTCAGGTTGTGACTCACAGCAGCCCGGTAAGCATCCAAAGACCTTTAACCCGTCTTCCTTCTGTCAGCTGGACAGCAATGAGCACATAGAAAACTGAAATGATTTTTGTTCTGACACAGAGGAGGGACGTCTGTGGATCACATGTAAAGCACAGTCTGATGTTAGAGTAACTTCCACATGAATGTCAGAGCTCAGGATCTCCCAGCAGAGCGTTGATCAGTGTTTTCTCTCTCAGTGGTTTTAATGTTCAGCTGTGCTCTCTCTGCTTTGTCAGCATGTGGCAGCAGGGCTGTGAACAGCAGCAGCATCACAGGAGATGGTGTCGCTGCAGCAGGAAGTTGGCCCTGGTTCGCTTATATAAGAGTTGATGGAGGGCCTCGGAAGATTAATGTTGGTCTTGGAGAGCTGCCTACCAGTTTTGGGTTTGGAGGGTCTCTGATCAACGACCAGTGGGTGCTGACAGCTGCATCCAGCATGTCACTGTGAGTCAGTGCTGCCAGTTTACACTTTGTTGAATATGATGATGAAGGTGAAGTGTAGCATTCATGTGCACTAGAGACATTTTTAATATTTCCTCACTTCTTCTAACATTTAAAAACAGCAGCTGCTGCCCAAAGTGCTGAACTGCAAAGTTGTCTGCACAACAATCAAACCAGACGCCACATTAGTTTAATCTAAACTATAAAGTCACTTCATAGATGTCCTTGTATTTGAGAAGCATTGATTTTTCTGTCCACTGATGACAGAAGATGGTTAGCTTAGCATAAAGCTGCTGCTATTACAAACAACTACACCCCTCTGTGAGGCTCGTTAATGAACACATGCTGGGAAACTGAGACTGGAGAGAAAAGTGAGGAAAAGTCACAGTCATGTGTTTTGTTTGTGTGCAGTGTGATCAGCTGACCTCACTGCTCAGTTCAACAACATGCAAACAGATGTTACATGAGCTCTGTGGCTGATATCCACACCCTGCACTCTGTAATGCTGGCATTCAAAGAGACCTTCAGGATGAGCAGAAGTTGACTTTGATGTCTGATAATATTTTGTGTCTTCCTGGTGAATACTCCAGCTGTACACTCACCCACAGAGACACAAACTGCACAGTTTGTGTGTTTGCTGAAGGTTGTTGAGCTCGCTCCTCTTCTCAAACACTAGATCTACATGCAGCACCTGAAACATGAACGCACTCAGTGTGGATGAATCTGGCCATCAGTGTTAATTACTTATTTATGTAACGAGCCAGCAGGTTCAACCACCTGTGCACGCACACACACAGAAACACACACACAACAAAGGCCTGAAAGGAAAAAGGAAACTCGTGGCATCGACTGCTTTGCCCTGTGCTGATGATCAGCATGAGGCACAATAAAAATATCTGTTGTGTGTGAAGGAATTTCAGTAGCAGGGTGGTCTATCTGGGCCGCAACAGCCGCTCAGGTCCAAACCCAAATGAAGTGAATCGCACAGTGGTAAACATCACCTGCCATCCTGGATTCAACTCGTCGACTCGTGAGAACGACATTTGTCTTCTGAAGCTGTCGGCTCCTGTCAATTTCACAGACTACATTCAGCCGATCTGCTTAGCCTCACAAAACAGCACCTTCAACAATGAGACCAGCAGCTGGGCCATCGGCTTTAATGGTAAATCATAAAATGTTTATTGTACTTTACAGCATTGTGTTGGAGTCTTTAGAAAAGCCTGATGTTTAAATTCTCTCCAAATAGAAAATAACCTGCAGGAGGCAAACGTACCAATAGTGGGAAACAATGAGTGCAAAGCCAGCTATCCACGGGTCCCAGACAGCATCATCTGTACTGGAGAGACAGGTTCATGTTTGGTGAGCACAAGTTTATTTCTTATAATCTGTTGCTGACAGTCACTGAGATAATCTCACCTTTAGTCACACTTGGTTTGCTTGTTTTGCTGTAATGGACCATAAATATTAATATTCATGTTTATCAAAGGTTGTTTTTTCTAAAGCCTCTAATTTATTTGATGAAACTGATTCCTTTAAACGAGCTGCCTGAAACTTTCTGTCTGTGGAATCGTCACTTTCATTGCACCAAAGCAGCTGAAGTGGATTCACAGTGGTTCATGTTTCCTAAGTGGACAGATTGATATCCATGAAGTGTTGCTGACTGTGTTATACTGGGACGATCAATTTATTTATTACTTAATTTATTTCAGCAGTTTGTAACAAAACTACCAACAAAGTTCAAACTTTAGTGGGTGACAAAGGTCGACCTCTAACAGTTACACATCTGTCCTGATAACTTTCATCACTGTCTTTCCACAGTTTAGTGTTGGGGCACCACTGATGACTCAGAGTGGATCCGTCTGGCTCCAGAGTGGACTTCTCATTGCTCCTGGATGCTCTGAGTCTGTACGTCCTTCAACCTACACTCCTGTGTCCCAGTATCAGACATGGATCAGCGACACAGTTACAGCGACACCACCAGGCTTTGTTACCTTCCCCTCCCCAGACAGTTCATTACAAACCACTGCTCCTCCCACCGCTCCTCCCACTGCTCCTCCCACTTCCCCTCCCACTGCTTCTCCCACTTCCCCTCCCACTGCCCCTCCCACTTCCCCGACATGTGTGGCTGTGTTTTGCAGTGGTGAAAACCTGATCCACTTCACTCACTTCACCTCACTGTGTGTTCTCGTTGTGTTGCTCCATGTGTTTGCTGCAACTGTTGGAAACTAGATCAACACATTTACTCAAGTACAAACATGAAGAACTTTACCTGACATGTTACTTTATAACTTTAGGAACCTTTGATTTCACCGTATTTATGCACATCAGGAGGGTTTTCTTATTAGCACAGTTATTATTTTTATGTGATTATTTTCTCTACACATCTGTCTGTATTTGCTTTACTGTCATTATGAAATGAAGCCTTCTTACATAATTCTGAG